GTTCAGTACACGAACTCCCTTTGATCTCCTCTCAGTCCCCGAATGCAGGAAGTGATGTAATATACGCATATATGCATTCAGTGTTATATGCATTCAGTGTTACTCTCCAGCTAGAGAAGCTGATGAAGCCGATCTCTGCTTCATCAGCTTCTCTGGAGGTCCCTAGGTGACATTAGGGGTCTTGGAGACCCCTGATGTCTCCCTAAAGAGGACCTGTCATGTAAATTGGCTATCCCATAGGGGGCTTCTTAGCCCCCCATGTAATAGCAATAAAGTTGTATGTAAAAAAAAAAGTAATACAAAAATGAAATTCATAAAAAAAATAAAGAAGCATAACATTTATTTTTTTTAAGTCCGCGCCCCCCTAAAACACATGCATATATGCGTCAGGTGCGCCTACGTGCCGCACATGTTGCATATCGCCGCAAACGGAGTGAGAGCAATAATTTTAGAGCCATTAAGGCCGGATTCACACCTGGGCGTTTTACAGCGCTGATCGTCGCGTTGTAAAACGCCCTACAAGTGAAATCCCATTATTTCCTATGGGCATTGTTCTCACTTGGGTGTATTTCAGCGTGTCGGAACGTGCTGAAAAACGCCCTATGCCCAAAGAAGTACAGGAGCTTCTTTGGGGCGTATTTCCGCGCGTATCCATTAGGATACAGCCGGATAGCCTTCGTAAACGCGCGTTTGACGCGCGTTTTGTGGGCTGCAAATCGCGGTTAAAACATGCACCGCAAAACGCGCGTCATACACGCATATTTTGAACGCCTAGGTGGGAACCCAAAATAAATGAACTTTGCACGATATTCTAATTATTCGAGTTTCACATTATATATATATATATATATATCTGTACTACATACTGTACAATGAGATAGACTATGAGGAGCAGGGGATGCCTGTACTATATACGGTACAATAAGACAATGGGGTGCAGGGGATACCTGTAATATATAGTGTACAATGAGAAAGACAATAAGGTGCAGGGGATGCCTGACCTATGTACTGTACAAAGACAGACAATGTGGTGCAGAGGTGCAGACCTATGTACTGTACAAAGAGGTGCACTGTACAATGTGGTGCAGAGGATACCTGAACTATATATTGTATAATGAGAGAGACAATAGGGTACAGTGGGATGCCTGACCTATGCACTATACAAAGACAGACAATGGTGTGCAGAGGATACCTGAACTATATATTGTACAATGAGAGAGATAATGAGGTGCAGGGAGATGCCTGACCTATGTACTGTACAAAGTGGTGCAGAGGATACCTGAACTATATATTATACAATGAGAGAGACAATGAGGTGCAGGGGATGCCTGAACACAACTACAGATTGTGTATAGCACTGTAACTTATGACGGACTTCAATAGAGACACTGACTGTTCTGTAGACAGATGATGTCTTACCATACCCATGTTTTCACCGAAACATACAAACACAGAGAATTCAGGAGAATGCACTATTTTCTTTTAGCAAGTCAACATAACGTGCTAAATAGGAATGGCCTTTCTCCTATGTATTCCAAAAATGCAGATAACAAAAGATATACATCATCCAAACACACGCTGTATAGCATGCAGATGCCATGACCATATGGCAGAATTCGCAAGCAAAATGTACAATCCGCATGAAATACTGCTTGCAGGTAAACTCTACAGTAATAACTCAGAATGTGTACTCGCTGGAAATCTCTGCAGCATTATTTTAACAGGATTGTATATTTTCTATTTACAAATTCATGGGCTCCTCTCACATATAACAGAACATTTCACAACACAGAAAGGTGTTCTTCACATCCTAAGGAGTGTTTATATTTTATGTACTGCACTTTTTATTTTCGGATTCCCTAATTAAAAGGGTTTTCTATATTGAGGAAAAAAAAATAGAAACCCCCTGGTTTAATGACATAACCTGGACTTGTGGTGCTCTCCCTATTCAGAATCCAGGATGGGCAGCTTATTCTATAGAGCAAAAAAGCAGCTCAGAGGCTTCTTTAGAACCTGGAGCTGTGCAACCTTTTTAACTATGACACAAGCCTGGCCTGTCCATGGGATTATTAAGCCGGAGCTCACGTCACAAAGAAAGTGCCTATCAATTAGCACCCTTAAGACAGTCTTAAAAGTTACAAATGCAATAACCCAAATATGTGGCGTGAGGACTTAACAGGCTTCAAATTGTTTAAAGCTGAACTCCGGGATAAGCAACTATTGTCTTAAAAGGAGAACTATGAGGTGAGTGCTTTTCACTCACCTCATAGTTCTAGCCGACCTGTGACAATGAGACTGTCACAGGTCAGCTCAGTAGATCGGGAGGTGAGCGAACACATACCGGCGTTCGCTCACCTCTCGATCCTGCCACGGCCCTCTGCCGTGACAGGGGAGGGGCTGGATTCCCCCCTCCCCGCTCTGATCCGCCAGCGCTGACTTGCGGATCGGACAGGGGAGGGTACAGCTGGCTCTGCCTCTAGATAGGCAGAGCCAACCGTCACTCACGCAGCTGGGCGGATCCCGGCACAATTGTCGGGATCCGCTTCAGCGTCTCAGTATACCGCAAGCAGTAGCTCGCGGTATACTGTGGCGTCTCAGTATACTGTGAGCTGCAGCTCGCAGTATACTGAGCTCAGGGTGACGGGAGGACGCTAGTTTGTGTCCTCCCATTACCCTAAGGAGAACTATGGGGAAAAGCCTTAACCCCATAGTTCTCCTTTAAAGTGTAACTAACTAAACTAAATGAACAAAAATGTAACATATTGCAGTTTATGAATCACCAGACGTGGTGGTTGCATTTGTTTTTCCATTTTTGGCCTTCCCCCCGCCCCCTTTATTTTCACATGGTCCTGCCAGTAGCACACTTCCTGTCCTAGGGTGACAACTAGCAATGCAACGATACCGTTTTTCCGGTAAAGAGGACCAATATTTATCTTTCGGTTCTCTAACAGTACTTACATGCAGCCCGGCTTCCTGATAGGCCGGGAAGCCGGCTCCATGCTGTTTGGCCAGGAAGCTGGTTTCCCAGCCAAACAGCATAAAGCTGGCTCCATGTTTCTTTGCGGCACTGCCAGTCAGAAGGAATCTCCCTCTGACGGGAAGTTCCAGAATCGGTAAATGTATCAGAACATTTGGACGAGTACGAGTATCGGTGCATCCCTAGTCGCAGCGCTCACATAAGGCACCGTATCTGTGGATGAGCAGCATTGTTACCCTAGGCTGCTCACTCCTAAATAAACCACAGAGCACCACCTCTCTTCTCATCTCCACAGCATAGGGAGGGAGGGAGCAGCAGTGTTCTCTAGTTCACAGACTGTGAACTGTACAGGGCGGATAACACTGATTGAGATTTCAAAGTAATAGTGGAAGTAGTGTAGAGAAGTTACAAGCTTACTAGATTTCTGGTAGGATCAACATGTAGGTTTCTGTACTTGTAGTGTCTTTAAAGAGACAAAACATGAGGAATGTGCATGCATTGCAGAGATATACACTTTAAGCCCCAGTCACACTGAGCGTATATTGCGCATATTTACCGCACGATATCGCTCTCCACTGAATGTCAATGGGGCTCTGTTTGTCGCTGTCACGCGTCGCTACAACAGGACCCTTTTTTGCCGCGGATGTCGCGCGATTGCACTCGGTCCAATGCAACCATTTGTGCGGTTTCGCGCAAAGCGCCAAACGCGCGATTTGCATGTCGCCTAGTGAGAATGGGGCCTTAAGCCTACTGTATTTTTTCTGACTCATCTGGTTTCACACAAGCCCTATCTATACAGTTCTGCATCTATGTATTACTAGGTTGAACTCGATGGACTTGTGTCTTTTTTTTAACCTGACTATGTAACTACCCTGTATGAAGCCCTAGCCAACAAAGCAACTCCCTCCACCCCCCAAGTTCTTGTAAATTATAGTTGTACTTAAAGAAATAAACACTTAAAGATATGATCTGCATTCTGAAGTGTAGACGTTCTTCGGTGTATTATTTCTGGTGGGCAGACGATTAGAGAAGCGGAAAAGCCATATAAGCATAGATTCCAGGCAACAGCACTGTTCTGAATTTGGAATAAATATGCAGATTGTTTTTTTAATATTTGCATTTGCCCAACATTCAACTTAGTGACACTAAACTCAGGAGTTTAATCCTAAAAATATATTTAAGTACATTATCCATTAAAATTAGTTTTATTTGTGTATTACTGTATATCCTCAAATCATCTCTGAATTGGTGCCGACACTGTCCTTCCTTCTGGAGGGTGACTACGTTTGGTCCCCATGGTCCATCATCACAGGAGCGAGCTTCTCCCTTTTCCAAGCTAGATGGAGAGTTGCTGGAGACTACTCTGCCCTTTGTAATCTTGTACAGGACAGGAAGTTCAAGGAAGCCGAGCTGAGAGAGTTGGAGTCAGCTGGAAACATTAGTGTAAGTGTTTGGGCAAAAATATAAAGAGAACTTTCCTCCAATTAAGTCTATCCTATGTCCTGCCAGCTGGTGGTTACCGTGAGAATCCTCCTTTCATTGATGCCAGAAGCTCCCACAGCGGGGTACTACCAGGACTAGATGAGTTAGTGGGGCGATCTTTCACAGTTAGACCCAAGGCTGCTATCCCATGTAGTGCTATTACTGCACCTCTGTGCGAGGGATCAGGCATCAGTGAAGTGGTGATTATTTCACTAACCATCAGCCGGTGGGACGTAGGATAGACTTCACTTATGTTTCCAGCAGCTATAGACATGACACGGTGGTCACACTATTCTTTACAAGAATCGTGACACAAAACAAGCACACTAGCATAAGCGGAGGCTGTAGCTATTTACACCCATTGTGCTGACAATACTTAGAGGATAGGATAAACATTATACTGATACTGGTCACCCTGAGGGTGTCTGAACTCATGGACAATCTATACTGATATTGCCACCAGCCTCTGCTTCTAGCAAAGCATTCTGGGACTTGTGGTTTCCCCCCCCCTGCCCCAGCAGAAGCCGGGAAGTGGACGTACTTGAGATCCCGGTTGACGCAGTCGAGGTTCTCCTGGAACTCGTTGATGAAGGCTCTCTCCCGAACCTCCTGGCTCTCCTTGTTCTTCATGCCATCCTTCAGACATTCGAAAACCCGGGTGACGCTGGAACGCAGCGCCTGGATAGAGTGAATGGCCAGGGAGAATGCCTCCAGATTCTGAGCCTCCGCCATCCCTTCAGGAACAGTCCCCGACTGATGACGTCAGCCGCCTCCGTGCATAGCAACAGCCCGGGAAGCTGTCCCTGGGTGGTGACGTCAAGGGTACAGTGACAGCTTCGCTCTACAGTTGAGCAAAGTTTTCATTGTGAGCCGTGAACAAATTGAGTGAGAGAGTGGAGAGGGGGACAATAACGTGGATACACACTTTTTTTTCTTTTACTTTTTAGCTAAGCTTTGCTACACATTATACGGGGTTTTTTTTTAAGTGAACCTGTCAGATCTTAATAATAAAATCCTAATGGCACTTTCTTGCAATACAGAGAAAAAAAAAGAGTTATTATTTATTCAATTAATGACAAATGGTATTTGTATAGCACCAACAATTTACTTATCGATGTACATTCACATCAGCCCCTGCCATCAAGTTGCTCACAATCTAAGGTCCCTATATCATATGCACACATATACACATACATACATACATACATACATACATACATACATACATACACTATATTGCCAAAAGTATTGGGACACCCCTCCAAATCATTGAATTCAGGTGTTCCGTGACATTTTCTTGCTACTAAATATTCCATGGTCAACTGTTAGTGGATTATAACAGAGTGGAAGCAACTGAGAACAGCAGCAACTCAGCCACGAAGTGGTATGCCACGTAATATGACAGAGCGGGGTCATCGCATGCTGAAGTGCACAGTGCGCAGAAGTCACCAACTGTCTGCAGAGTCAATAGCTACAGGCCTCCAAACGTTGTGTGGCCTTCAGATTGGCACAACAACAGTGCGTAGAGAGCTTCATGGAATGGGTTTCCATGGCTGAGCATCTGCATCCAAGCCTTACATCACCAAGTGCAATGCAAAGCGTCGGATGCAGTGGTGTAAAGCACGCCGCCACTGTACTCTAGAGACGTGTTCTCTGGAGTGATGAATCACACTTCTCTGACTGGCAATTCGATAGGCGTGTCTGGCGGTTGCCAGGAGAACGGTACTTGCCTGACTGCATTGTGCCAAGTGTAAAGTTTGGTGGAGGGGGGATTATGGTGTGGGGTTGTTTTTCAGGGGTTGGGCTTGGCCCCTTAGTTCCAGTGAAGGGAACTCTTAAGGCATCAGCATACCAAGATATTTTGGACAATTTCATGCTCTAAATTTTATGGGAACAGTTTGGGGATGGCCCCTTCCTGTTCCAACATGACTGCGCACCAGTGCACAAAGCAAGGTCCATAAAGACATGGATGAGTGAATTTCGGGTGGAGAAACTTGACTGGCCTGCACAGAGTCCTGACCTCAACCCCATAGAACACCTTTGGGATGAATTCGAGCGGAGACTGTGAGCCCGGCCTTCTCGTCTAAAATCAGTACATGACCTCACAAATGCGCTTCTGGAAGAATGGTCACACATTCCCGTAAACACACTCCTAAACCTTGTGGACGCCTTCCCAGAAGAGTTGAAGCTGTTATAGCGGCAAAGGGCGGGCCAACTCAATATTGAACCCTATGGACTAAGACTGGGATGCCATTAAAGTTCATGTGCGTGTAAAGGAAGGCGTCCCAATACTTTCGGTAATATTGTGTACATGCAGGGCCAATTTAGACAGGAGCCAATTCACCCACCAGCATGCACACCGCAGCACACCTAACAGTAACATTTGTTGTGCAGTTTCATGCGGGAACAAATGTGATCCCACATTGCAGAGATGTGAACAGAGCATCAAGGTGAACCTGTTCAGTTGAGTTTACCCAATGAAGTTTCCGTGCTCATCTTTGACACCTATTGGTGTTTTGCACATTGATCCTTGGTGGCTATGGGTTACCACAGTTGGACATTGGCACAATATTGGATTTTATTATAACAGATGGATACTTGCACAACTTTATAAATGCATGTGTTGCTATTGATTACTACAGATTGACATTCGCACAGTGATTAGGGATTATACTGACCACTATTGGTTATCACTGAAGGACATTTGCACAGTTTTATGATTTTGCACCTTGATTATGTTTTATTAAGATTACAAACAGGAGCAATTGTTTGCATATCACACATGTATTTTATATTTTTATTGGTATAATACAGTGATGGCGAGCCTAGGGCACGCAGAGGCCCCTCTGGTGGTACACAAGTCTAGGTGCTGGTTGCCGGGGCTCGCACACTCCATGTGGGAACCCCTAGGGGGTTCCCACCTGGGGTGCTCCTAGGGTTGCCACCATTTCTTCAAGCGAAACCTGAACCCTCTAGCGACGCACGGACATTTTTTGGGGAGAATGAGTCGCAGCTTATTCGTATGTAAATAGCGTCACCCATTCATATGTTAATATCACACTCGAGACTATTTTTAGTAGGGGGCCAGTAGCCCCTTAATTTGGGTTGCCCCTGTCTGCCTTACATCATGTGTCCGGGTTTCAGCTGCCATGAAACCTGGACACAGCATTCAAAACCCGGACTGTTTGGGTGAATCCTGGACAGGTGGCAACCCTAGGTGCTCCGCACGGGTCTCCAAGTCACATTAAGTTTTTAAAGATGGCCACCGCGAATGGCGGCGGCCATCTTTAAACCCTGCAGGTGCCCAGATCCTATTTAATATATTGCCGAACTGACAATGTATTAAATGAAAATCATCCAGTGGAGGATCAGTATGTACATCCCTTGCTGATGTAGATCATACTGAACGCTACCTTGTGTGTGTGATATGTGTGTTTTTTAATGTGCGTGATGTGTGTTTCATTACATGTGTGATGTGTGTCTTTTATTGAGTATATAGATGTTTGAATATGTGTGTTTGCTTAAGGCAGTGATGCTGAAAGTTTTTTGAAACCCCAGTGCCCAAACTGCAACGCAATACCAAACTTATTTTCAATGTTGGCGCTTTGAGATAAGTAAACTGATTTTGCGTTGCAGTTTGGGCACCTGCGTTCAAAAACGTTCGCCATCATCGGTATAATACATCTAGTAGTATTTCTAAATATTTTGTTTATATTTAGGTAGCTTTTATCTTGACATAATTTAAATAGGAGCGCTGCGTCCAGGCAATTATAGTTTTCATATATTCTTCCTTGGTGGATGATACACAGTAGCTGTAGGTTAGATAGGACACCTTAGCACAGGGAAATACTGTTTGTCTATTGCTTTACCATTGAAGTAATGTTCAATCCAGATAACAAAACAAGAAATTATGGCAAATCTCTCTAAAGCTGGCCATATACCTATAGATTATCTGCAGATTTTCTATGCTCAGATGAAAAAAATGCAACAGATTCCTCCATCTACGCTAAGTGGGAGATTACTCCATCTACGCTAAGTGGGAGATTCCTCCATCTACACTAAACTGTGTGGATGGAGGAATCTCCCGCTGGGCCAAGCTTCAGTATCTTGCTAGTCGGTCCTGCTGGCTCTCAAAATACCCGAACTATCTGATTGGATGCAGACATCGTTCAGGTATTTTGAGAGCCAGCGGGGCAGACTAGCAAGATACTGAAACTTGGCCCAGCGGGAGATTCCTCCATCCACACAGTTTAGCATCGATAAAGAAATCTGTTGCACTTTTTCCATCTGGCCAAAGAAAATCTGCAGATAATGTATAGGTGTATGGCCAGCTTTCGGCTTCTTTCAGACAGGCAACAAGGGGGCAGTAAAAACCGGCAGTTGAACCACATTTATACCGCCCCCTGACAACCTATGCTAAAACAATGGCCGCTCATGCTTGTGTACATGCCCGGGCAAATTTTAAACAGCTTGCCGCATTTGGCAAATGTGACCATTGCAATTAATTGGACCATGCAGCAACCAGGTGAGTATGCAGTTGCAGAGTGGTATTGCTATTGAAAATCCCCATTGGGATACAAAAGGCATTAAAAAAAGCCCACATGCTGCATCGCAGGTGCTCTGCAGGGTGTATTGCGATAGGGCAGCTTACGCACCACAACACATAGTAATAGGTCACAGCGTAATGTGGTGCGTTACAACACTCATGCTAGGTGTGTTGATGCTATTAAGAATTGGAACCACAGCGCACCTAACATTGCAACATGCAATCTCATGGGATGTGGGATTGCGGGCGGCATCGCACTTGCTCTGCAAATGCAAAGATGTGAACGACGGCTAAGAGGCACCTCTTTCCATAAGTTCAGTTTAATGTGAAACAGTGCTTTGTGCATGCATGCAAAGGAAAAGAATAATTATAATGCCATTCTTTCCCTTTTCACTTTTTTAGTTTCCTTTTGTTTTCGCGCCATTGTGTTTGCCCCCCAAAAAGCAAGGAAAGGAAGCCATGTCTGTACTTAAAATTGAGTCTTCCTCCACACCACCATAAGACAGCACAGCCTGAGTAGCTGATTGCCAAGCACCAGAACTGTCACATTGGAGGAAAGGGAGTGAGTCACATATTTCCTCCTACTTGGGTATTTTTCCAGCTCCCTGCAGCCAAAGTGATTGGCAGTGGAGTGAAGGGAGGTATGTGGAGCTGGTGGGCCAGCATTAAAGTAAACCCTTTGCTTTGCCTGGCATGAGTAAAGCACATGCTTTCTTTCATGAGGATCTGAACTCTGGAAGCTGTGCCCAAAATAAGCAAGTAGAGGGCAAAGGGCTAGTCACCAATATTTCCTGTAGGCTCCCAGCGGCTGATCTTTTCCCTATTACTGACTTACTGTGCCTTGTTCTGCACTATTGTCTCTGTGTGGAGGCAGCCATCTTGGTGGAGGCAAGGCTTTACTTCCTCATGTCAGAACTGTCCCATGCAAATATTTTATAGAAGCAGAAGGAGTGTAGGAAGTGCAGAAACCAAAATCAATAAAGCAGAAGCAGCGAGATCCTTGCACTGCAGGTCCTCTGCTAGTTTCCTTTCAAGTAAGAACAATGAGCAGCACAGTAGTAACATCACCAAATATCACTGTAAATCTCCTGAAACTAGCATTTGGGCAGCGGTGCCTTAGATCTCACACTGCAGATATACAGTATAGGGATGTAGACACATGATGTACACTGTTTTTAGTTCAATCTGAGTTTATT